CCTTCCTTCCTTCCTTCCTTCCTTCCTTCCTTCCTTCCTTCCTTCCTTCCTTCCTTCCTTCCTTCCTTCCTTCCTTCCTGGGTGCGCAGTGGTTATAATGCAGTATTGCAGGCTAACTCTTCCAACTGCCAACAGTTCGATTCTCACCAGGCTCATTCAGCCTTGCCTCCTTCCAAGGTGGGTAAAATGAGGACCCAGATTGTTGGTGGCAAGAGGCTGACTCTGTAAACCGCTTAGAGAGGGCTGTGGTATGTAAATCTGAGTGCTATTGCTATTAGGACACCAGGGAAGGTTGCCAGGCATACAGGTGCCAGGTGGTCCTGATGTCAAAAAGAAAGTCAAAAGAATGAGGAAGCCATTTATTATGGCTTATCCCAATTGAGGGGAATTTAAAAGGACAGGATCCATGTTCCATGTGGTGTGAAGCTTGATTCAAGTTTTGTATTGGTAGAAAATTTCTACCTGGGCTTATGTACGGAGATGTACTTTTCCTTCTACACCAATTGGTTCTCAGTCTTGGCGAATTTTAAGTTGTGCAGGCTTCAACTTCCCCTGAATTCCACAGCCCAGGCAACATCGGGGGACTTCAACTCCCAGAATTCCATGCTTGCTGGGGAATTCTGGGAGTTCAAGTCCACCTGGAGCTTAAAATTGCGAAAGGTGAGCATTGTTCAACACATGGAATTCTATCTAAAACAAAACATGCGTTTATCTACAGTACATAGATGGACAAAATATATAAAGATTTTATTCATTTATTTTATTTATACAGATATCTCTCATCAAATGACTCTTACAAGCTGTATAATAATTAAAACCATACCACAATATAAAAAAGCATCAAACATAAATAACAAACAACAAACAAAAAAGAACCTCAAGAAAGAAGGTCACATCATGGATTATATTATATATTAAAGTATAATACATACATAGATATTTCATCTATGAATCCAATCCTGCCTGTACATTCCTATATGAATCTACCCTGTACAGATAAGACAGAATACACAAAATATATTACATCTCCATATATAGATAGAATTGTATACTGTAGATTAAAATTATATTAAGAGCATTAAGGGAATCGGAGAGATAATTCTCTTTGATTTGTGCCAGCCTAGATAATTCATTTATGTGAGCCTATCCTGCCACCCACTCACTCACAGAGTACATGATGTTACAATGAGGTTTGACTCTGCATCATTTGTGACTAGATAAATACATGTTTTTGGAGAAAAAAAAAAGAGGAATACCTCTATTAACATCGCCATCTGTGACCTGCTGTGCTATAAAACACTTTGGAAAATATGTTCGATATAATACATATATTAGATATTAGTTACAATATGTAAATATTAGATTAAATATGTTCTCAAAGCATTGGTTGGCTTTGCATATCATGTGAACTGAGCCATCTCATTAAACTATACTCCAATTCATTTCTTTGGACATGGGAGGTTGTGTAAACATAAAAGTTGTATTTTGCTTATGGGTTTGTGCTAAATCTGCACAAATATACCTAAAGTATGCTAGGCTTTGCTATCATTCTCCGTCCATTAAAAACTAAATGGGAGCAGAGAGAAAACCCCAAATATTTAAAATCAGGAGGAGTCCAGTAGCAAATTAGAAGTCTTATCTGAGTTAACAAATTTTAGGGAAAGGCTTTCGTGAGTTGGAGCTAAAGTCATCAGATGTATTGAGTCAAGAACAGGCTAGAATGCGGCAATTCTACGCAACTAAGGAAGTTACAAATAAAAATAAAATAAAAATTGAGACTCTTTTCATAAAATCTGTGAGTCAGGAAAGACTTCTTATTTGTGGCTAACTAGAGACTAACATAGAGAGCCAGTTTGGTGTGTAGAGGTTAAGGCATCAACTTAGAAACCAGGAGATGGTGAATTATAGTCCCACCCATTCTGAAAAATCTTGCCAAGAAAAATGCAGGACTTGTCCAGGCGGTCCCTAAGAATCAGACATGATTGAAGAAGGAAAAATAGACTTAACATAATATACTCCTCCTATGCCCCAAATGCTAAAATAATTGTTGGGATCATAGGATTAACTTCTTGCCTTGAATCTCCTCATTGCAAACCTGAACCCTAATTTTAGCTAAAGGCTCATCCAAGACCTTTCTTCCCCATCAGATTTTTTTTAAAAAAAGGTTCAGAACCATCCATGGAGATTCTCAATCATCCAGGTCATGGTTGTCCCAAAGGGCAACTGAATTTTCTTTGGGTTTTTTTTTTCCCTTGAAAATGTTTCACTTCTCATCCAAGCTGTTTCTTTGGTTCTGTTCACTTCAGAACTGAAGAAGCTTCTTGGATGAGAAGCAAAAGGTTCAGACCCAAATCTCATCTAAGTGCACCGTTGGATGCCTGCAAGCAGAACGGTGACCCAAATCATCCAGGAGCCCCCAAAGTTTTACATCAGAAGAAACCAAATGAAATTCAACAGCCCAGCTGGTGTCTGAGATGTCTTGGCTTTTGCCTGATGGGACTGGTTTAAATCCCCATCCCGACAGACAAAACTTCCTGTTCCCAGCCGTGAAACAGCTCAATTGCTTCTGGGTCTTGGCCTTCATTTCCATCTCAATATTCAGGCAGTTGTTTTGCCATCCAAGAATCTCACAGGAAGGCTGTTGTTTCCTTGGCAGTGGGAAGGTCTCGCCATCTGTTGAATGCTGAGAAGGCCTGCATTGTCTCAGCTTGGCAAAACCCGGCTAGAATTCAGGTCAT